TTAGTCAAGAAGGAATCAAGGTCAATCCGACCAAAGTTGAGGCTGTCAAGCATTTTCCAATCCCAAGAGATGTCAAGGGGATCCAGGCTTTTCTGGGCCTGGTTGGATATTTCAGGTCTTACATTAAGGATTTTGCCATCAGGGCAAGGCCTCTATATAATTTGCTGAAAAAAGATGTTCAATTCAATTGGACAGAGGCCCAGCAAAAATCCATGCAAGATCTGCAAATGTGTCTTTTGACAGCACCTGTTCTATCTTTTCCTGATTTCACTAAAGAATTTATTCTTACTACTGATGCTTCAGCTCTAGCTGTGGGTGCAGTTTTGACCCAAAAATTAGGCAAAAAGGAAGTACTAATTGGATGTGCTTCCAGGACTTTGAATGATGCTGAGTCCAGATACCCTAACACAGACAGAGAAATCTTGGCTGTGTTTTATGGTGTCAACCAATTCAAGTCCTATCTTTGGGGTCATAAATTTGTCATCAAAACTGACCATATAGCTATTCCTTATTTAAGCAGACAGAGACAGAATGATAGCAGTTCCCGCTATTGGACCAAATCTACTCTTAATGAGTATGATTATACTGTGGAATATAAAAAGGGCCTGCAAATTCCACACGCAGATGCCCTATCCAGGTATCCACCGAAAGCAAAAATCTGTGCTTATTTGTCTCCTGCTCTTCAAACCGATCAAATGATCCCATTTATTTCAAGGGAATTGCTGCAACAACAAACGCGCAGATGTCATACAATTCCAAATGGAGACAATTACACAATGGAAGATGGCCTTGTGTATCGAGATGAAAATAATTCCAGGAAGATCTGGGTTCCCCCAAGTCTCAGAACTGAGATCATTAGGATACATCATGATCCTCCATCAAAGGGTCATTGTGGGGTAGATCGAACTGTTTACGCGATCAAGAATGAATTATATTGGCCCAATCTAGAAAAAGACGTGGCTGATAACATCAGGTCATGCAAAACTTGCCAAGCTAACAAAAATTATTCCCATAGAACACCTTATTTGTCCACAGGGATCCCTTTGGAATGTTTTGAAGACATCAGTATTGATGTAGTGGGTCCAGTTCCCAGCAGTCAATCTGGCAGGAGATACGTCTTGGTAATTCAAGATCGCCTCTCTAGCTGGATTGTGTTCTCTCCCATGAGAGACGCCTCTGCTCAGACTACCGCCCGCTTATTCATAAGCAACTGGGTTTGTCTATTTCGAGCACCAAAGAGGATCCTAACTGACAGGGGGACAAACTTCAATAGTGAAGTTTTTAGGGATATGGCAAGGTTTTTGGGGTCCAGGGCGCATACTACAACTGCCTACAGGCCCCAAGGAAACGGTCAAAATGAAAGGGCCCACAGGGAATTACATGAATATCTGGCCCTGTATCTTGACCCAGAAAACAGACAAACTTGGGATGAACTGCTGAAATTCGCAGCATGGGTTCATAACTCCTCTAAGCATGAGGCTCTCCAAGCCTCTCCATTTGAAATCGTTACAGGGGTAAAACCAAGGACAAATTGGATCCCAACATCATGGAATAGAAAAGACCTATCCAATGTCCAGGAATATTATAAAGACAAACAAAATCATTTGTCTGAGGTCAGAAAGAAGGCCATTGAGGCCATTAGAAAGGGTCAAGCTTCCTATTTGGAAAGACTCAACTTACATCGAAAAGGAAAAGAATATCAGGTGGGTGACAAGGTGTGGATTAGAATACATCAACAAGCTACGTATATAGGTCAAAAATGGAGCCCAAAATATAAGGGTCCATATACAGTGATCAATGTCGTCAATCCTGTAGTTGTCAGAGTTTGCGACAATGAAAATCCAACATGGACTGACGTAATTCACGTCAGCTATGTCCGACCATACGTGTCACGCACGCCGCCACCTGAAAAGCATCCCATTGATGATGTCTCCGACAATGAGTATATTCCACCTGCCCCTAGCCTTCGAAGCCAACCCAAAAGTACTGTTGTCAAGGCCGGCAGTACCAAAGGTAACAAGGATCTCCCTAAACAAACCAGAGATCCTTCAGAAGAACCGTTCAATTTTTCTCCTTCTCCATCTCCAAAAGCAAAGCAGAAAGAGGACTTTCATTCTTCTTTTGAAGGGGGTGGTTCTCCCCAGTCCTCTACAAATTCTAAAATTTTTCAAACTATTTCTCCTTCTATTCCGACTAAAACACTTGCTAATGCAACTCCATTTTCAAGCTCTGAAGACATCTTTGTCTCAGCTGACAATTCTATGCACAAAGAAGAAGAAGAAGTGGATGATACTCTTCCTGCCCAGCAAACTGTCATTGAGCAACCTTCTTTCTTACAGTCTCTTTCCCAAGGAGTTAGAAACCTGACAAAGGAATTTGGAAAATTCCTGAACCCTGATGTTCCTTCTAAAAATCTTAATGCATCAGCAGAGACTCTTCCTTCTCTCTCTGATACCATTAACGAACATCACACTCCTCCTGGAGCTGTCAGTACTCCTAATACTTCTAAAGGTAGGACAGAATTCCCATTCAGCTCAAAACAATCAGCAGAAAGAAGATCCTCAAAGAAAAGAAAGACTCAGCCTGAGATTCCAGGAGAAGAGGATCCAGAAAATTATGACAAGCTAGAACAATCAAGGGAAAGCAGATCTCAACCTCATTCTCATCAAGATCCAAATCCTATTTTTCAGGAAAGAACACCTGAAGGCGCAAGACAAAGATCCAGATTGCCAATTAGAACAGATCATTCTGCTGCTGGGCCATCAGCAAAGAAAAAATCAAAGTCAAGAGCGCTGCAGGGTTTAACACCCTCTATACTTGCTGCCAGAACTTGCTGCCTAGCTCTATACTTGCTGCCAGAACTTGACAACAAAATCAGCAGCAACAAACCACTCCAAAATCATCTCCTGTGAGTGGAAGAACTAGAAGCAGACAACACTGACCCAGTAGTGAAAACAACCTGCCAGATTAATTTCTGAGCCCTTGTTTTCAATCTCCCACTATTGGAAAAAAGTCTAGTGTTTCCCAAATTTAATAAGATCCCAATGAATATCATGTGGAAAGTACTGATAATTTTCTTGATCCTTTACATCTCCTCTGGAATTGAAATCCAAGAGATTGAAGAGAAAGAGAAGGGAATGATTTCCAACAGTCAAAGATTTGACAAAGTTTCCCCACTCAGAACTTTCCCTGCAAATGTTGGGATCACTCTGGAGGACATGTTTTCTATTTGTACCCCAATCAATTTTTGGACAATAGAAACTTCTATAGATATTGGAAAAATTCATACCTTGATGAACAACTTGAATGTAAAAATTCTAACAGTCATCAAGAACAGGCTAAAAACAAATTCAAGTTCTCCTACAACTATTAAATTAGCATACAATCTTTTGCAAGACAAAGCAAGTCAATTGACTGAAGAATTAATTAATCTTTCTTAGTCTCGTTTTCTTTGGAGGTTTGGTAAAGGAGGTCTTAGGAGGATGGATTCAGACGATGGGTATTACTCCTCTTCTTTCTTACTCTATCTACTTTAAGTCCAGGTTCTCTTTTCTCGTTGTTTTTCTCCACCTGCTCATTACAGGCCAAACTCGTTGTATATACTTCACCGTTGAGTTAACCCTTTGGTTTATTTAAGGTGGAACGGTTTACTACGACGAAGGACCAATATAAATTGGTCAGAACCTTTACTTGATCGGGTAAAGTGGTCCGAAAATTTTTCCTTGATGGCTGACATGGACAGAATTCATCAATTTCAATATCCAATTACCCTCTTGACAAACTCTGAGGTTAAGACCCAATTGGAACAAATTATCAGAACTGAAAACAATCCTCCAACTACAGTTCTGACCCTTCAAGACTTGTTTGCTTTAATCAGGTCAAACCCCCTGACCATTGGTCACTTTGACCCTTGTGCTCAAGATCTTAAGGGTCAGTTGTGAAGTACAAAAATGTCCTAGTGTTGACACCATGGTTAGTAGTCCAGGTAACTGTTTATACTCGAGAAATTTTAAGTACGAAATGGATAACGACTTCTATGAATATACCCTCGAGGATTGTGGAAACAAGCCCTTTTGAGACACTCATATCTTTTATCTCAAGGCTCCAAACTTTATGGTTTAAATTCTCTTGATTTACCTATATGCTTAAATCAACTGGGACAAGCTGATTGTAGGATCTGTAGATTTAACAGACCTCCTTCCCAAGAATTAGATCCTTGTGTGTCATCAATTCAAACTGGAGAAAATGAATCTACAATAAAGGCTAAATGTCCTTTGAAACAAATTAGCACTCCTAGCAACACTGTGGTGCAGCTGGATAGTGATGAATTTGCATTTGTGGATAATGACAAGGGAAGGATCACTCAGTATTGTTCTGGTTCAAAGAATTCTAGCATATCTGCATCTGAAAATTCTTATGAATTACCTTACTCTGGAATTCTTCAATTTAAGCCTAATTGTCGCTATACAGTTGTGAATGGTCCTTTTACTGATGTGTTGCCTAAACTTGAGAATATTGAGATTAATGCGGTGCAAGAAATACCTGCTGTCATGCCAGGGATCCATCAAATTTCCTCAGACATCAGTGAGCTACAAATTCACTTTAGAGACTACGGTTATATTTATATGATTGTGTCAGTCTCATTGTTGCTCATTATCCTACTGTGTCTTGTTTACCTATGCTATGCTAAAATTCGCTATGTTTTACGGATTAGGAGATCCTCTCCTTCTAGGAGAACTGATGATGCTCAAGCATCTGTGAGGTTTATCCAATCTCCTACTCCTAAACCTGCAATTTATCCTAGATTAGAGATGGACTCCTCCACAGGAATATTGTCCATTCGCTGATCACTTTCTGAAAGGAAATTCGGCTGGAAGAGACAAACAAAAAAGAAAATTGAAGGCCAAAAATTCTTTTTACAATTTCTCTTATTGCCTTTTACCCATATAAAAACGCGGGTACGAAATAATGGCACTTTCTTTGACGCGTCTTTAATACCTCTACGCGTTTAACATCTCTTTAAACGGATTATTGTCCTCAAGGACCAGTTGTTCTTCCTTTTTCTCTTCGACGGTCTTATCCGCCTCTTCCAGCCCCAACAGATCCTCCACTGGTTGGGCTTCCGGATCCTGCTGATCCTCCGGCGTCAGCATTCGCACCAGTTCCCTCATGTACGATGACTGTACAGAAAAGACAAAGAGAAAAAGCCCCAAGCAAAGCATCAAAAATTATTGCATGCATTGTTTTGTATTTACATGCTAACCATTTACCTTGTCTAAATGTTGAGACTCTTGGGGATCTAGCCCTTATATCCGCATAATTCTGCGAGAAGACTTCAAATTCCTCATCATCTGAATCTAGCCCATTAAAAAATATGTTGGGCATGGATCCTATTTTGCATTCTTTAACTTTAGCTTTATCCAACTTGAGAATTCTTTTCTTCCTCTATTTTTGAAAAAGGCATGCACAAAAAAGCAAAGCAAGCATGAAAGCAAAAAGCATTGTTAATCATTTTTATTAAAACAGAAGAAAAATTGGCTAACCTTGTTCCTGATGAATTTCACAAGCCAGACCAGGAAAACAGCCAAGGTTGTAGCCCCTGCACCTCCTAGGCCCATAAAGACCAGAACCATGGCCGTCCACGGGTCCACGTCCGCCTCGACGTGTGCAACACCATGTTTTATGTTGACCGTCACCTCCGGCGTCGACGACGGTGCCCTAATGACGTACGGCACCTCCGGGGCCACTACGACGCTTTGCTGCGTCGAAGGAGGCGCCCGAACCACGAACGGCGTTTTGCTCGCCGGCACGTGGACGACCGCCAAATTGGCCGTTGGCGCTACTGGGCGAGGTTCATCTGTATATACAAAATTATTATTAGAAAAAAGGTGAAGGAACATTTTTGTGTGCTTTGGTGTTGGTCAGGTGTTGGGTATGTGTTATGACGTTATGTGTGTGAGTTGTGTTGTAATGATTTATGTCTGTGTGAAAAAACTGAAAACAAACTCACCAACCACCGGCGGAACCGCCGCCGTCGAAACTTCTGGCTCGGGTGGTACGACCTCTTCGCACCACCTCCATGGCGTCACGACACGCTCCATCTCGGACCGGCGTCCGACGCAGACCGTCGGCGACAGCAGCTTCACCTCCTACAA